TAGAAAAGGGCCCCCTCCAGCTCTGACGCTAAGGTTCAGGCCTCAGCGTCCCAGGTTCAGGCTCCTTCGCCAAGGTTGCTGCCAACTGAAGATACCACGCGACCTTCCACTTGTGCCAGCCCTGCCCTTGAGGCAGGTGGGAGCCCCAGCCAAGAGGCCACTACTGGGCAGGGCTCCCACCCTGGGCCTTGCTCCAGTACTCCATGATATTCCTCCACCCAGACTCCAGAATATCTTCCTAAAATGAAAAGCTGATGATACCCCTCCCCTGCTTGTAACCGTTAGTGCCCCCCCACTGCCAGCCAGCTAGCACCTGACTCCTAGTACTCATTCCCCCTCCTCTGCCACTCCATCCCAGGGACCCAGTGCCTCCACACCAGCTGGTCCTTCCCTCTCCAGGCTTTGGTCCAGCTAGCCGCATTCCTAGGCTGAGAGGCCTCCTGCGCTCCCCCCTACCCCGGTCCACATCTTGCTTCTCTGGGCCCCCACAGCACTGGAGAGCAAATTCTCCTCTCATGGCTATTAGTTTTCCCTGTCTACTGCCTCCTGAGACCAGGAGCTCCTTGAGGTCAGGAACTGTGTAGGATTCATCTCAGTGTCCCCAGCACCCAGCCCAGGGCATGGTGCATAGCGGTGTTTGGTGAATGTTAGGGTAGGAGGGAGGAGGGAAGGGAGGAGGAGAGAATGGGGGATGGGAGGAGAAGAGGAAGGAAAGGGAGGAGAATCAGTGTGTCCCCTTTCCTTCTTCCCCCTTGACGTTCTCAGCTCAATCTAAGGCCTCACTCAGCCTGGTGACGCAGCCAGGTGGGGCTAAGCCAGTGAGGGGAGGCAAGGAGGAGGAGGAAGAGGCAGCTGCTGACCAAGCAGCACCTCCATGCAGAGGCTTAAGAGCTATTTATGCGCTGCCCGCTAAGCCCTAATCCTCAATGGCCAAGTCAGAGCCATGCACTTGGGTTCCCAGAGGGGCTGGGCTAGGGAAGTCCTGAGATGGCTACGTCTGTCTGCAGAGGCAGCCAACACAGTCCCACTCTACCTCCCGGCTCCCTACCGCTCACAGTTCCTCACAACTTGTTCCTCTTAGCCTGGCAAAGAGAGAGGCCAAGGGGGCAATATCTCAGAAAGTCACCCACACTTGAGCTTGGCCACTGGCATGCTCTGTGTCCCTCTCTGGACCACCCAACATGGAGAGAAAGAGCTCTGGCTGAGGGTTTACATGGCCTGGGTTCACTTCCAGCTCTGCTGAGAAACCTCAAGCCTCTGAGCCTGTTTCCTCAGTGTTCAGAGGAGAGTGAGACCTCCTCATTCTGGCTGTGAGCTCGGATGCAGCAAAGAACAGGCTGGGTCAGTCCTGCATTCTAGAGAGAGATGGGCAGTCGGGAGACAAATAAGACTGTTGCAGATAGTGATAAGTACTGATTAGAAAATGAACATTTAGGTGGTTAGGAGCCCTGGTTTGTTGAGTTAGGCATGTGGGGGTTCTCCAAAGACGAGAGTTATGAGCTGAGACCTGAATGAGATTCATAAGAGGGTCACACTTTTAGCAACACTCACTGATCACTGGCAGGCACCAGAATAGGAAACTGAGGCACAGGGAAGGAAGGAGGCTGCGCTGCATCTCAGCTGCGCTGCATCTCGGCTGTGTGGCTGCAGAGCCTCGGTCTGGGTGCAAGGGGAGATACGAAGGAGCCACACCCAATGAGGGAGGATGGTGAAACTGGAATGGTGAGGCCCGAAGGTCCGCGAGGCAGGCGCTGGTGGGGAAAGGCGCAGGCTCTCCGAGATTCCCTAGACCCAAGCTGAGGGGAGGAAGTGGGACTTTCCGGGCTCTCGTGGTGACGCAGAGCCACAAGCTCGGGCCCAGTGCCACCCCCTAGCCCTCAGGGCCACCACAGCTGCCCCAGGCCTGTGTGACTCAGTCCGGGGCCTTTTCCGCTACCCAGTACAACCTTTTTTATCCTTTATATCATGGTATGAAGAACTGGCAAATCTTTCCTGAGAGTCGTCTTTGGTGCTGGAGGGAGACGTGGCCAGGCAGGTTATAGCTCAGGCTGTCACTGATTTGTCACATGACCTGGGTAACTCACTGCCGACTCTGGGCTTCTGTCTCCCCACATGCAAAATGCAGCAGGAAAGGTCAGGATAAGTGACTTCTAATAACCTTCCAGCTCACTCTCTCCCTGAGCCTGTTGCTCTGAACAAAGAACATTTTTTGTTTTTTTTAAAAATCCTGACATGCTTTATGGAATACAGCACACCATCGCCTCGGCGATGGCATTTAATTATCCATCACCTCGCCCTGTGAGGGTGGCATTATTAAAGTCTCTTACAGAGGCGGGACCTGAGACCTAGAGAGAGGAAGTACTTCCTGAGGTAACCTGGATCCATTCACTCATGCCACAAATATTTATTGAGCACCTACTCTGTGCCAGGCCCTTGGAGATACATCAGTGAACAAAACAGACAAAAACCCCAACTCTTTCTAGTCCAGGGAAAATGATTTACACTGCTCCTGCTACGTGCCGGGCACTGTGCTGGGCTCTCGGGACCCTGTGGTGGGCAAGACAGACCCCAGCCCACCCTTGCAGGCTCACATTATAGCCTGGGAGATGGACCAAGAACACATGCACAGAACATGAATTAAAAGCTTCCAGGCTGTCATAAGCAAAAGGAGGTGACAAGCAAGGCACTGAGGTTAAGGGGCAAGGGCTCAGCCCAGCCAGGGCGGGTTGTGTAGTGTCCGTCTGTCTGGTTTTGACTTAGGGAATCCAATGTTCCTCCCTCTGTCTGGCTACCAGGGGCTGGGCTGTGTCAGAATCAAACCCTCCACCTTGACCTCATTAGCATTGGGCCTAATACTGGGCCAAGCGCCTTAAACTGCAAGAGGTCACACCCCACCCACCCCGCCAAGCCACCCTCTGTGGTCATTACACCGACACACATTTCATCAGCCCTCAATGTGCAGGCCCTGACACCACCTGAGAGAAGCGGGGGTCTAGAAACCTAGGTGGGCTGGAGGGAAGGGGGGCATTTTTCTGAGCAGACAGCCCCAGGTTGGAAGAAAGACTGGGTAACAGAGAGCTTAAGGGATGGAAGTCCTGGAGACAGGGATACTTCCCTGCTGGCCTTGGATGCCCGGCCTCAGGGTCTTTGCACTTGCTGTTCCCTCTGCCTGGATATCTCCTCCGCCGCCACCACCATCACTACCACCCCGCCCCAGATCTTGGAGGGTCTGGTGCTTCCGTCACTGAGTTCGCAGCTCAAACTTCACCTTCTCAGAGAGGCTGCTCTAGAGAACTGTGCTGGGAGTGGGTCTGAATTTTTCCTATTGTTTTTTGTTTCATTACTCATTTGTGGGCCCTCCCTACCCTCGCATATGATACCCTGTAACGAATAATGCTTCCTGAAGGCAGAAGCTTGGTCCTTCTTGTCCAACGTGTCCCCTAGAACCGAGTGACTTACGCTGATACATATTTGCGTCTGGGTGGCGGTCATCAAGTACTCCACACACGAGGCACTCCCAGCTACCCCACTTCATTCCCGGGAGGTGTCATCGCTCTCCTGTTACCATAAGGGGAGCCTGTCAGTGCTGGGCCTCCATTTGCCCCCCAAACCCGTCAGTGCCAAGCCTCCATTTGGCCCTCCTGGGATCCACCCTCATGGGGTTACTTTTCACATGGCATCCAAGGTCCACTGTCCCATCCCAGCCTCAGCAGACATCCTCAGACATGCCCTGTGTGCCACAGATGTCCACCCAGTCCTGTCTCCCCTTCACACTGGAGTCCCCAGGAGGCTGAGACCACACCTGCCTCATTCATCGCAGTGATCTCGTGTCCAGCACAGGGCTTGGCGCACAGTCTGCCTCCTGGATGCAAGGCCTCGCTTCAGAGCTTCTGTCCCCTCTCTGTTTCGGTCACCCCCATCCCTGGTCCCCCTCCTTCATGCTCACTCCCTCTAATCCATCTTTGGGGGCATTTGAGCCACCTTTCTGTCCCTGAGTTCTGCCCAAGCTACTGCCCACTGCCCTCCAGATAAAGCCAGGTTCCTCAGCTTGGTATGAAGACCCATCAGAGCTGTCCACAGCCCATGTGCAGCCACACCCCAGATGGGCCTCAGGCCTCTGCCTAGACTTTGTGTTCAGTCTATGCTGTCTTCTCCACTTGGCACCCTGGCTAAGTGTTTCCCCTCCCTCAAAGACCCAAATATCACCTCCCTGGACACCTACTCCAGGCAGGCAGCCTCCCTTCCCCAGGCCGGGATCTGTTCTTCCCACACCAGAGTCCTGCTCACCTTGTAAGCTCCTCTTTTCTCAATCTTTGTATCTCTGGGGGCTTGCACATACATATTTATGAATGAGTGAGCAAGTGAATTCCCATTCTTGCTATAAATGCAAAAAATATTTATTGAGCTCTCAAGCAATGCCAGGCTGTGTGTCTGGTACAGGGAGTGCCAAAGCTGGCAGGATGCATTCTCTGCCCTTGTGAAGCTCATAATCTGGCAAAATGGGCTAGTGTCAGTGTCCAGTAACTGGATAAGCCAGGAGGTGACTTAGGTGGAGAATGAATAGGTAAACGGCTGAGTGAAGTGATGAGAAACTAAGAGAATAACCACAACTTCTACCCTCAGGAAACTCACGGTCCAATCGAAAGGAAGGCAAAGTCAGCTTATACTACGCCAGAGGGAAATGGGCCTGGAGTCAGAGGTCCCAATGCCAGGCCAAGGCCACCAGGCTGAGATGGTCAGAGATTCCTGGGGAACAGAAGAGTGGGGGTGGGCATTCTGCCCTTTCCCAGGGTCCCCAGCACCTTCCCTCCCCAACCCCAGGCTTCCACCTGGAGTCACCTTGGCCTTTCTTGGGAAGCCAATTAGGCCCCCAGTTAGGCAGCATCAGGGATTAATATGATTAATAACGCCCCCAATCTCCCAGGTGCTGATTCAGCCAGGAGCTTAGGGAGGGGAGGTCACTTTATAAGGGCCTGGGGGGAGGGTCAGAGCCCAGAATTGTCCAGCAGGAGCCCTGTGTGGCCGAGCTCAGGCCCCAACAGCATTCTTCGGTCGGAGCCGGCCGCGGGGCAGCCCCAAGGACCACAACCATGAATGGCACAGAGGGTCCCAACTTCTACGTGCCCTTCTCCAACAAGACGGGTGTGGTGCGCAGCCCCTTCGAGTATCCGCAGTACTACCTGGCTGAGCCATGGCAGTTCTCCATGCTGGCTGCCTACATGTTTCTGCTGATCGTGCTCGGCTTTCCCATCAACTTCCTCACGCTCTACGTCACGGTCCAGCACAAGAAGCTGCGCACACCTCTCAACTACATCCTGCTCAACCTGGCTGTCGCTGACCTCTTCATGGTCTTCGGAGGCTTCACCACCACCCTCTACACCTCTCTACATGGATACTTTGTCTTCGGGCCCACGGGATGCAATCTGGAGGGCTTCTTTGCCACCCTGGGAGGTATGAGCTGGGATGCAAGTGGGCAGGGGGCATAGAGGCATCTGGACACAGTCCCAAGCTTAGGGTGGAGGCTGAGAGGCCTTCTCCCTTCTGCTGTCGTTGGCATCATCCAAAGCCCTCACTTAATCAACAAACACTTTGGTGAAAATGAGCTGGGCTCCATTCAAAGAGGGCAGGTATCAAGCACTGTTTTATCTCACTTGCAGTGATGCCATTGCCTTGCTTTACAGCAAAGAAACTGAGGATGAGAGAAGTCAAGGGCCTTGCTGGGTCATATCAGGGCAGGGGCAGAGATGAGTTTCAACCCCACATCTATGTGCAGTTTCCCTTGGAGCAGCTATGTTAGGTCAGACCCATGCTGGGCACTGGGGAGAGAGCTGCACAAGACAGATCCTTATCAGGGTTCCCAGTTCGGAGAAGGATGCAGATTCTCAGTCCTCCAGTCACTGGACTTTGCCTGTGCCGATACATGGGCTTAGTCCTGCCCCCCGGCCCCGCCTCCAGCATCTATCTGACTCCCTTCCCAGCCTGCCTCCACCCTCTCTGCCATGCATGAGTGCTTTTTGTGTTGAGCTCATCCTCTTCCTAGAAACCCCTTCTATAAGGAGGCACTAGACTTGTGTGGTGATCTGTAGCTTTGAAAGGTGCTTTCAAATATTTCTTTGACTGAAACGCCGATAGGAGTGCTGTAGAGACAATAGAGTCCATTTAGCAGAAGAGAAAACGGAGGCATGAAGAGGGGAAGACTCATTTAGGGATGCGGCAGGGCAGTAACCAGAGCCTAGGTCTCCTAGCCCAGATCCAGGAACTTTCTCCCCAGACACGCAGCCTCTCAGGCCAGTAGGAGTTGCAAGATGTTGTTATTACAAAGCCAGGGTGACAAGGAGAGCCTAGCACCAGCCACGAGGACTGCTCTGCTGCCTGTCTTCTCTCTCCTCATGTGTCCAGGTTGCTGCCTCAGCCCCCAGGAATCTTTGGTCATTACTGGATGTCGCTTTCCATGACCACAGATCATTTCGTCGCAGGCCGGAAGGCCAGGGTGAAACAGGGGTGTCACATAGAGGTGGACACTTCTCGGCAGGGTCAATCCCAGTTTATAACTATTGTTCTGGAATAATTACTAGTGTTCCCTTTCACTCTCAAAAATGTCCCAGTCTGGTTGATACATTCTATGGCCACCCTCCCTCCTGAGTGTCAGGGGTGATATGCAGCACAAATGTCTGAATTCCATCATTATGTGCTCTTTCTTCCTCTGAGCCAAACATCCATCTTCATGGCTCCTAGAAGAAGGTCCCACCCACATGCACAGGTCATTTTGTTTCCCTAGAGGGGAGAGGTCACTGCTGCAGAGGGAGGGAAGGGCGTCCTGCTCCGTGTTTCTGCTGTCTCTGCAATGCCTTTCTCCAGGGACTCTGCCTGTGGCCCCAGGAAGCACACATTCTTCTGTAAAAACTCCCTCCAGGGCTCCCAGTCCAATCAAGACCTCTAATCTGATTTCTGTGTCCCTCATGAGCCCAAAGCTCTAACTGAACTAAACTTCTTGGGAGTTGCTCCACTCCCCTCGTCCGTCATGTGGCCCCTCTGCCCGGCACCCTCTCCCCTCCTCTTCCCAGTGTCTGAGCCCGCTCCACCATGAAGCTTGGCTCCAGGCCTGCCCCAGGCTGCCTTCTCAGTTGCCCTCTCCCGCATAGGAGGAGCATGGCCTCCTTAGACAGACGTGGGGTCCAGGTTGGTGGCATGCTGACTGATAGCGGACTGCCTTGCAGGTGAAATTGCCCTGTGGTCCTTGGTGGTCCTGGCCATTGAGCGATACGTGGTGGTATGCAAGCCCATGAGCAACTTCCGCTTCGGAGAGAACCACGCCATCATGGGCCTCGCCCTCACTTGGGTCATGGCACTGGCCTGCGCCGCACCCCCGCTAGTTGGCTGGTCCAGGTAATGGCACTGAACAGAAGGGAACCGTCTCTGGGGTCTTCTTAGGGTCCCCTAGCCAGGACTCAAACCTAGGGCTGTCTGGTTCCAGGCACGGAGCTGGCGACTCCACTGGGGTTGGGGTTTAGGACAAGAGAAGAGAGGATCAGACCCTAATGTTGCTACGTGAGTTGGTCCCCATGTCAAGGAGAATCCAAGACACCCAATCCTTCACCTTGGCTGTGCCCCTAATCCTCAACTAAGCCAGGTTCAGATTCCAATCCTCTTTGGTCCAGTGCCCCGTGGGAAGCTCCCTCTGACCTTGGGCCTCAGCGCCTGGGGATGCTGAGCCTTCCTAGTGTAGGCAGCAGGTCTGGTGAAGAATCCTGTGCAGGTCAGTGGTGTACAGGGCCTGTCAGGTGAGAGACTCGTCAAGAGACTGGGAAGTATCAGGGTAACGTGGCTGCCAAACGAACAACAAAACAACACTGAATTCGCAAGGCGCATTCGAATCGTCTCTCAGTCCATTTGATCCTCACAGTCACACAGCCAAGTAGACACTTTATCACCTCATTTTACAGAGAGAGAAAGTGAGGCCCAGAGCGAGGCCAACAACGCGGCTGGTCACTCCGGTCAGCTGGGGCCTGTTCCCCACTCCTTCACATGTGGGTCTCCATTATGCCCCGTCCTGTCCCAATCTCCGCCGGCCCTCAGGTACATCCCAGAAGGCATGCAGTGCTCGTGTGGGATCGACTACTATACCCTCAAGCCAGAGGTCAACAACGAGTCCTTTGTCATCTACATGTTCGTGGTCCACTTCACCATCCCTATGATTGTCATATTCTTCTGCTACGGACAGCTGGTCTTCACCGTCAAGGAGGTAAGGTCCTGTGCTGGGCACTGGGGACATGCACACCGAGTGAGTCGAGCCCAGCCCCTTTCCCAGAGTTGCCACAGTCTGGACACCAGACCTTGTGTCTCTGCAGGCGGCTGCCCAGCAGCAGGAGTCAGCTACCACCCAGAAGGCCGAGAAGGAGGTCACCCGTATGGTCATCATCATGGTCATTGCTTTCCTGATCTGTTGGCTGCCCTATGCCGGTGTGGCATTCTACATCTTCACCCACCAGGGCTCCAACTTCGGCCCCATCTTCATGACCCTTCCGGCATTCTTTGCCAAGTCGTCCTCCATCTACAATCCCGTCATCTATATCATGATGAACAAGCAGGTGCCAGGTGGTAGGAGAGGGAGGGTCCGGGTCTCCCAAGCTGCAGGCACTGCCCACAGAGGACAAGCCACATCCTTGACTAGGCAGACCTCAGTCTTCCCATCTGCAAAATTGGACAGGGGAGTTGGTCTCCCCTAGGCATCAGAGTCATCGGGGAGAAATGCAGATTTCTGGGGCTGAATCAACATCTCAGGGTGGGCCCAGGATCCTGCACTTCTAAAAACAGTTCCAGGTGACTCTGAGGCTAGCTCAATCATGAGAAGTGCCAATCCCCATGGTTTTGGAGGCCTGCTTTAAAAGTCAAGTGGTCAAAGTCCCAAGCCTGGGAATGGGATGGTGCCAGTCTCCATTAAGGAGATCAAAAGGAGCTAGAAAGTCTTGTGATGAGGGATAAAGGGATAAAGCCATCCTTTAACACAGATTAGTGGTTTCTCTGCAGAAACCATGACCCAGTGGGAAAAAAGTGGTCTCTGGAGTCAGGCATATTGGATTCAAATCCCAACTCTGCTATTTTCTAACTATGTAACCTTAGGCAAGTCACCTCCCTTCTCTGTGCTTCAGTTTCTTCTTTCATAGAAATGGTAAAATCCCAAACTCTTGGGTTAAATGAGATAACTTACATAGCCCTTGGTACACAGAGGCATTATGGAATGTCGTTAGCGACAAAGCCCCCTTGGGTTTGGTCCCTGGCATCTCTGGAGTGAGGTCGCATATATTCCCTCCAGAGAGCCAGATTTGGGATAGGAGTGGAGGCTGTGAGGGCCTGAGCGGGAAGGGGTTGGAGGCAAGTCTCACCAACCACATCAGTTTGCCAAACACACCTTGGGTGGACCCTGACCCGGACTCATTCTTCTTGCCTTCCAGTTCCGGAACTGCATGCTCACCACCCTCTGCTGTGGCAAGAACCCACTGGGTGAGGATGAGGCCTCCACCACTGCCTCCAAGACGGAGACCAGCCAGGTGGCACCGGCCTAAGCCCTGCCAAGGACACTGTGGCCGACTGTAGGAGTCTTCCATCCCCCACCCCCACCCCCACCCCCAGGGACAGCCACCCCACTGGGAGCTGTGCCTGTCGGAACCAGGTCTCATAGGCTCCATGAGTTTAAAAAGAAAAATTAATGAGAAAAATGAGGCTCCCCACTCGATGGGATAGCCCGATCCGGAGTCCCGAGTTCCCAGAGACCGGTGGGGTCTGTACCCGTCCACTCCCCAACTCATCTCTCAGGAACACAAGAACTCTTGCTGTCTGGAAAAATGTCCCAGCTTAGGGATAAGTGTCTAGTACAGAGTGGGGCACACAGTAGGTGCTTAATAAATGCTAGATGGAGGAAGGAAGGAAGGAATGAATGGGGGAATGAATGAAGGGATGAATGGGCAGGAAGAGCATATCTATCCCCTCAAAACCACCTTAGCAATAGCAGCTCTTCGGCTGATGACCTTGAGCAATTATTTCCCTCCCTGGGCCTCACTTTCTTTCCCTTTAGAATGAGACTCCTGAACCCCTGGCCCACCATACATGGCTGCTGTGAAGATCAAATGAGGTATGCGTGTGTGCATGCATGTGTGTGTGTGTGTGCATGTTAAAGCACTTTGTAAATGGTAAGGAGCTGTACAGATTGTAGTTAATGTTATGAATAATATCAATTAATGTAATTAATTACTATGAACATCTCCTCTTGATAGTGATCATTTTGAGATTGAACAACGGCCCAGGTATTCAGCCTCAGCAGGTTTTTTTAAATTAGCCAGGCGTCAAGGCCAGACCAGGCCTGATGGTTGAGCCACAGGCAGGGACAGTCGAGGGAATGCAGAATGCGGTCATCACACCTGAGAAAACAGCATCGGGGAACTGGAGTCTGGGGCCAAGGCCTGAGGTCTTCCCTCTGGCCTGGAGCCCCGGGCCCAGTGCCTCCCCTTCCCAATGGGGCCTGTGAAGAGACAGGCCTTTCGTTCAGCTTCTGGAAACCTCATGCTTTCCTGCCCAGCACTTGGGCCACAGCATCTCTGGGCCAGTATGGAACTTCTAGGAGCTGTGCTTACCTGCCCATATTTAATAAAGAGCTGAATCTTTAATGTCACCCTTGTCTTGAAAAGCTTAGAAACAAAGAATGGGAAAGTCGGCTGGGCTCCTTCCCTGGGGATGTTCACAGGTCCCGGATTCCAGCTTCCTTGCTGGGTGAGCCCATCTTCAGTGGCTCCAGTCCATTCTCCATTCTGGAGAGTCTTTGCTGCAAAGCTGGCTGGAACTCTGGGGTGTTGGACTTGAGCTGCTTCAGTAACTGCCCCCTCCTTCTTCACATAACAAAGCCAGAAGCTCTGGCTCTCTCTATCTCTGCCTGGAGACTAAGGCAATTTGGGGCATTAAAAGCTCAGCTCCCATACTTGGTGTTAATGGTGGTGGTTTTTGCCATTCTCAAGCTCTTTATCTGCAGGATGGATTGAAACTGGGCAACATCCACCTGGTCCCTGATCCTGGGATGCCTGGATGGGGCATCAGCACAGCCTCCTGGGGGTGCAGGGTGGAGAGAG